TAACTTGACTTGCTTTCCTGTGTGTCGAATACACGTTCGCTGTGCACTAACTNTGTGTTCTTGCTTACGTAGCTGGGAGAAGGCTACTAGTGCTCGTGGCGTCCAATCTGTGCTGTGATCGTACTCGTGAGGCTAGACGAACAGTGTGGCCGTTGAGTTACGTGTGTTCCTCGTGTGTCATCGTGTGATATCTTGTTGTGTGTATATTGTGATCAATCGAGATCCGGACACAACAAAAACTTCCCGGATGCGTGGAGGAAGACGCTCTAACCAAAGCTGGCTGAGGAACGCACGATCAAGTACGCGGGGACGGAGGAGTTGCCGCATGTGTCGCAACAACTGGGACAGGGTGCGGTTGCCGATTTTGAGGTCCCCAAACAACTCATCCAGTCGGCGTTCATCCCACACAATTGTGCAGGTGATGAACGCTTCCTTCAACTGAGTGTATGGGTCATTCTCAGGCATGGTGGTGATAAATTCAAACACCTGTTACGCAATAACTGTGGGCAGGCAAGTGGGAATATATAATCGTTTTAAAGTGGATGCGGTGGGAACGGAAATGGGCTTTGGCTTGAGCGAACCATAACCGGGGGTTGTCAATACCAAATGCGGGCAACTTTATGTAAAAAGATATGGGAAGGTCCTCTATGTCGAGCTTTGATTGCTCCATGTTAAACGAGTACAGTGTTTCTCCCGAATAATAATAACGGTATATTTCGCGAAGCCTGCGAAGCATGCTAGTGCGAATGATCAAACTGCACAACAATGTTTAAAATGAACCGTGGAGACAAAGGGTAATAGTACGAAGAGTGCAGAAAGTAATTTTCAAACAAGTACGTAAAATATCGTAAATGTGCTTTGCGTTGAAAACAAAACACAAAGCATACAAGGTCGTAAAATGGAGTATTGGGGGTAATCTGTTATGTAATGCACATCATTGTGAATGTTTCTCTTATGAAAAGTAAGGACAAGACAGAAAATTGGGAATTGGATAATCCTCTCGGGAGAAAATGCGTGGAAACGAGTTCAAAGAAGAGAAAGTGAATAGCGAAGAAGAAAGATTCATAATTTCAGAGACATCTGCAATCGAGCTAAAGAAGAGTACAGCAATTCAAGAACAGACAACAGGTGGCTTATAAATAAACCGTTTCAAATGTCGATACAGTTGGAAGGACTTCTGTGATCACGGAACAATGGGCTTTGGGCTTCATCGTCAACGGACTGATTGGTTTTTATTTATATTATTGAAGCGCTGTTTGCTTTGATGTGGGACTGACTGCACGCTAGACACACAACCAACAAAAATGCAGGCATAAAAAAGGTCTAATTAGAAGATATACACAATGGAGATGGTGAGGGAGCGGAACGAAAACGCAATGTAAACGNCAACAGGTGGCTTATAAATAAACCGTTTCAAATGTCGATACAGTTGGAAGGACTTCTGTGATCACGGAACAATGGGCTTTGGGCTTCACCGTAAACAGACTGATTGGTTTTATGCATACTATTGAGGCGTTGGTCGCTTTGATGTGGGACTGACTACACGCTAGACATCCAACCTTGAAACATCTTGTAGGTGAGGCAGGGGGTGTGATCCTCAAACTGCCCGGAATGCGCACGGTGGATACAACCGAGCCCAACAACCATTGCTGGAGCCAAATTGTCCATTGTGGGTATAGACTCCAAGCCTTCGGCAGGCCCAAGCCAACCGAATCTGAAACAGAAAGGCGAAACTCGGCAGTCTGGGTTAATACCCAGCTGAGCAGGGAAGAGGGGAACAGCGTGTCACGAAACAATATGCGGAGAGCGTAACTGCTCGAATATATATAAATGTATATACATTAATATGTGTGAGTATTTAAAAGCAAAGTGCGCACAAAAATCACAAGTCAAAAAAATAACGAGATCAAGCGAAACAGAGGGTTCAACACAACAGGATTCCATTATAATGTAAGAGTTAAGTTCAAGAAGTGTACTATGTATGACGGGGGGTTAAGTCAGGAAGCTATTTGTGAAGGATCATCAAATGGATATGTGAGATTAGGGTACAGGTTTGGTTGTGGATAGGTGACATTACTTTTATCAAGTATTCACCGAGTGGGGTTTGTTCCACTTCTAGAGGTTTGAGACTCGGGAAGTGTACTGTGTGTGAGGACAGCCGAATAATCCCATTGTAACATCAGAACACAAGCTTGAAGGCGAACAACTGTTTTGGAATGATTCATAATCGTGCCTGTACAGATCATATAAGGAAGCCGACTCACACCCGAGACATTGGCCATGGCTCGCGCAGAGTTCGACCACATGCTCCAGCTTGGTATCATTCGTCTATTTAACTCCCCTTGGTCTTCCCCACTGCATATGGTACCCAAGCAG